CTTCCGTAAAGTTAAGCATAAATTGATAATTTTTCAATAAGTATTGAGATTCCACATTTATTAGGCATACAAAAATTACAAAAGTAATGAGAGATTTAGTAAAACTGAATTTCTTTTATCCACCTGCTCGGTTTATTTACTCTTTTTCCTTTATCCACTTGATTTATTTAAAAAATTGAATTTTAGTACATACCTAATTCAGCATCATTACTGACATGTTCTGATGAACTTGGCGAATTGTCGTTTGCAACTGTCTCATTCTGCTCATTTTTATCATGCAAATTGGTATTTTCTGTGTGATAACTATCAATGCCATCAGTATAGCCATCAGTGATCTCATCATTGCCATCAAAATTCGCGATTCCATTTCGATAGCTTGATGTTTCCTTTCCAGATTTAGTATAACTCTTTTCATTAGCACTGCTGTGCATTCCGCTAACATTTGCTGCAGAATCTTCCTAAAGCAAACATTTCTGCAACATTTTGCTGTACGAAAATCTCGAAAATATTTAATTGCCAAAATTTTCATGCAAATTTTTCGCGTTTTTCAATTTTTTGCAAATAACAATGATATTTGGGTACTGTAATCGAAGAAATAAACGAAAGTGAGTACAACTGAAAGTAAGAAACTAAAACTTCAGACTACTTTATTGGAGCAAAAAAGTTACTTGAACAACAGACATCGTTTTGTTTTGGATTAGAAATTTAAAGTTATGCAAAGTGAAATTAATAAATTTAGAATAGAGAGATATATAATACTAATAGTTAAAGATATGCTGTACAAGTCATTCTTCTAAATAATCAGTTAAATTATGATTCTAAAGAGATTAAAACTATATAAGAAAATGAGAATTCTTGCGAGCATTGTTTACCGCGAAAGGAAAAAAACTGATAAAAAACTTGCGTTGCTGTAGTACATAGTGCAACGACAAAGTTAGAAATAAATTATCATAAGGACACTTACCTCACTCGGTGAACTTTGACCCGAAGCATCGACACGTGTCTCAGTGCTTGCTAGTTCTGATTCACTACAATGAAATGGTATTTCTCTAAAAATGAAATGAAACATTTGCAAAAAAATTACTTAAATAACGCATACTTTGAAAGTTCATGACGTTTCACCCGTTTAGAGTAAGTTATGGAGAGAAGATCTTGAGCTGTTTCTTGAGCTGGATACTTGCTTCCTCGACGACGATGGCTATGTGTATAACGGCCCTAAATTTTGTGCTATTGTCTAGCTTATTTCTTGCTATTTAGCCCACTTAAGCATTTCATTTTACAGAAGCAAAGAAGTACTCTATTAAAGTATATTGATAATAATTCACCGCAGTACTGCTGGCTGATATGACAGAACTTGCGCTGCTTCGACGTGAATTACTGTTTGATTCCGCTTGAAAGGACGATGAAGAAGAAGCGGTTGACGGACGTGTATTTCCAGCGTGCATTGGCCGGCCTCGACCACGAACTGTTGGAAAGCATTTTTTCATTAATTGCTCAACTTCATCAGCATATTCCTCCATATGACTTATTGGTTCTTCCTAAAAGCGGAAATAAAACACTTAGAATGTACAAGTATAAAAAAGTTAAGGAGCGCAAATCTACTCACAGAATACAGTATAACAACCGAAAAACCATAATTTTCATATTCTGAGAATCTAATAAAATATCTAACACATCTTTAATTTTTAATTAATATTCATTTTTTCCTCATAAGCGTAATTTGGCTAGCATAATTTAGTCCTTGTATTTATTAATAGTGTAAATATTTTAGGGAAATTAAAAAAAATTTTTTAATCATTCAAAATTCGTTTCAATATTTGAAAAATAAAATAATTTTTGCAAAATCTCTCAACATTTAAAAAAAATTACAGATGAAACCTGAGTAAGAAACCTCAACTTTATAACAGCGTTTGCAATAATTTTTATAACTATAACCAGATATATTTAATTTCAAAGTATATCTTGAAAGATTTAGATGTAATTATTAAATGCATATTGTAAGCGAATTTCAATTGCCATTTAAATTTCTTATTTACTATAATTTGCGGTTGCAGTCTGCTTCAACATACTATTTAAGATGAAAACCAAATATAATCTCCATAAATCCGCAAATTTTAGAAAGTTAAACTAATAATTAAATTAAAAATTATACTTACTGTTAAACCATGTACTGTTGACATATGACTTTTGACATTATTCTTGGAATAACTTGAACTGAATTTACATTGAGGACAGATGAACATTGGTTGAGCCACGTGATGTTGTCTAATATGACAAGGTAACTTCGAACTATGTACTTCTCTCATGCATAATTCACACCACTGAAAACTGCAGGGATAGCTCTGAAAATAAAACACCAAGAAAAAAAAGGTTACGGGTATTACGGGGAAGGAAGGGCAGGCTAGCTACTTACATAAAAGATAAACGTGAAAAATAATCACGTTTCTACAAGATCACGAAGCTATTTTTTTGGAAGCATCAATGTATAGTTCTGTTTGAAAGTATAATTCCAAAATTTAGTCGTCAACAAGATGGGGAATTAGTAGAGTATGAGAGTGCAAATTCTAAACCATTATATTATTTACGTACGCATATAAAAATATGTTTTACGTGTTAATTGTATTTCTGGCAAACGACTCAAATTATTTTTTTTTGAAAACATGTCAAGTATATGAATAAGAATGTAAGGAAGAAGAATAAAATATTATTAATTTAATTGCAAAAGTAATGAATTCTAACTCATTTGTGCAAAAGCATAAAAATATTCAATAAAAAATGAAGCCAAAAAAGTAGGCTTACACGTTTCTTCTCCTTTGATGGACGTTGTTGACGTTGTCGTTGTTGCTGTTGTTGATTGTGGTGGTGATGCTGGGAGCGTTGCTGTTGTTGTTGTTGTTGTTGTTGTTGCAGTTTTAGGTGTAACTGTTGTGGTTGTTGCGTATTTGCTTCGGCCAATGTACGCTGCCTGAGGTATTCCATAAGAAACGATGAAGACGGTGAAGATAATGATGAGGACTGTGGTAACTGTTGACTTTGTTGTGATTGTGTAAGTAAGTTCAAATTGAATAAATGATTCAAATTGACATGATTATACATCATAGATACATCAGGTACTGATAAACCGAATGCTGCAGCAGTAGCGACAGCAGCAACAGCAGCAGCTGTAGCAGCACTAACTGGAGGTTGCTGCTCACTGATTCCAGCAACAGTTGTAGCTAACAAATTCCTTGTCATACAATCCAAAAAATCAGTATTTAGAGCAGACTGTGTTGTGACTAAGATATTTGCGCCATTATCTGTCTGAGAATATTGAGGTAATGATAACTGAGTTTGTTGTGAAGGTGATGCTGATAATGATGCATTATCTTGATGTTGTTTTTCATCATTTGTCAACATTTTTGAGCTTATAGAGAATTTCAGTAATAGTAATAGAAAATAACAAAAGTAGTATTGATCAAATGATCAATTTATTGTTGATCGATAATATTGATACAATTCAGCTTTTCCAACATTAAATCATAAAACTGTGCAACTAAATTGTAACCTATAAATAATACTCACTTTTAACTTATATGTATTGTTTGCTTTATTTAATATAAAACCAATATTTTATTGCAAAATTGAAAACGTTTATTATCGTAAATTATTTTCTGAAAATGCAAATGAATTTCAGCCTGCGTAAAATGTAAACAAGCAAAAATGAAGCAAAAGATCTCAAAGATAATCAACAAGAACAAAATTTGATTTGCTTGAAAAAATAAAGAAATTAAGTTCATATTAATCCATAAATTTACATTTAAAAACGTGTTTAACACATTTCATACAATTCTCGCTAATTACTTTTCTGCACTACTCATCAAAGAAATTTTTATCACTGATTAATTCAGTTTTCACGTTTACAAAACGTGTAATTTCAATATACAAAATCAGGAAACTAATCTAATTCAAATCATCTACAGTCTAGTCCATAAATTTACTAGTAAAAAGAGACTGATGCAGTTGTCTAATTGCTTATTGCTTGTTCAAATATCATTTATCAAGATAAACCTATACAACAACTCTAGTACGTGATCCATCTATATTTGAAGTGATTAAAATATTCACAATATCATTTACATATCTTTTACAAAACCTTAATAACAGATTGATAATTTAAGAACTCGTTAATGATATCGGACAGTTTACACGCTATAAATACTTACAAAATATAATCAAAATTATTGATATACATATTAATTAAACGACAACTTTAAAACAAATGATAATATTACTTCAAAAAATTTAATCAAACTCGCACTCACGTAAGTATTTGTTTATTTCGTGTAAATTTTTGAATCTTTTTGCAGTTACAAATCAGATTGCTAAAAATTTTATAATTACAAATCTTTTAATACGACAAATATGCAAATTAATCTTTCAAATTAAATTTTTGGTAATATAGTAATGTCTAGAAAAACTTGTGATTTTATGAGATGTAACTGATTTATGGCTTAAAATTAAAAAGCAAATGACAACTTGTTTACGTCTGGACAAAAATTGAAAATTATAAATGTAACATTGCTAATGTATTAATTACTAAATAATTATTAGCTCAAACATAATCCTTATTTCTTATCATTTGATAACATAAATAACGCATGAGATCTTTATTTCTTATCATGTGGTAGCAAAAATAACACGTAAGAATTATTCGCACTTACTACTTTTATGTTGTTAGAATACTGAAAATAGTGTAATCATTAGATTTACTGTATATGAAGAAATGATAAGAACAACATTCTCCCCACTTCGATCATAAAACTTATGTTTTGTTATCAGTGATGATATTGTTTTGACTTTCAGGAAGTCAGTGAGCGCATAAATTTGGCAACATATATAGATACAAGTCATTTCTTAACATATCACTAACTTGTTGATAATTTCAAAATGATAAGAGCAAAATGGAAAGTAACTATTATTGAGCTATTCTTAATGATTACTATTGCTCAAGAAAATTCAAACTTTCGATATATCGTAAAATTTTTTCATGAAATTCTAATTAAAAAAAAGTATTGTTGCGCGATTGTTCTCTATAGATCACACTGAAAACAACTTTAATTAATTAAAAAATATATCACATGATCAATGCAATATTTGCTTATCGGACTCTAACTTGGGTAAATTCCTATTTATTTTATAACTAATAGTAAAGATACTCAAAATTTGTACTGAATAAAATTCACTAAAATTTACATATTTTCAGTGGTCATTCCAACATTTCAGTGGCATGAATGAGACATAAACTGATCAATTTTGTTAATAAAATATTTCATGAACAGTAATATCAAGTGAAAACTGACCAAGATATATTGTACAAATTTAGACAAACATTTTTACACACTACCTAATATCTCAAGCAATTACAAATTACCCCAAGAAAGAATCACATAACGAGACGCAGTATATTTGCAGTTGAGCAATATGCAAATTAAGCAAAGCTTTGCATAAATAACACCTGCAGCACCTGTGCCCTTCATGTTTCCTGCATTTTTTAAACATTTCTTAGGTTGATTTTAAGATATCGCAGCAGCAAGTGAAAGGGTATTATTTATAAGTTATCTTTACATACAGTCATTACATATTATAGCTTTGAGTATTGAAATTTGCAACTTTCTTTCACTTTAGAAAATATTTAAACTAAATTTGGTACAAAAGATTTTCGGACATTAATGCATATATAAATTTAATTCCAAAACATATCTGCTCGTATAACTGATTGCTCGTTCTTCCTCCCAAAATTTTGCTATATTGCACTAAAAGTAATATACTAAAATCATTGTTTCATCTTTATTAGATAAACATGATTTTTAGTGTTATTTTGCTGCCGTAATCAAAGTATTTAAGACAAACTTTCATACTATTAAAACTTTAGCAAAAAAAATGTAAATTTCTAGCAGTAAAAACAAAGCAACTCTGATAACAACTTTTAACAGCAAAAAACTTTTAGCATTAAATTTCAATTCCAACTAATATGCAAAGAAATTTTGTATGAAAAACAGTAACTAAGCTCAGTAAAAAATAAAATGACTGCAAAGTATCAGATTTAAATAATTAGAAAGTGATATTTCTGATCTATCTGAGGGTTGTAATCAGAATAAAATAAGACTTACACTTAGTCTACCATTTCAAAGACTTGAAAATGTTCAAAATTATTAATAACTTTGCATTTGCAAAGTTTGAGTATATCTTTTATAAAGTTTTGGCATTTGTAGTTTTTTCTTTTTTTCGATACGATTTGTCAATTTCCGAAGCTCATAAAGTTTTCCTCACTTTTGCAGTATAGCAAAAAATTAACAACAGAATAAGCCTTGCACAGACCGTTCGTTTTATTTTTTTCTACACAAAATCAGTAGTAGGCGCATTAGGCCGGAAGTACAGTCTAAAAGAGTAACGAAAATTACTTCAAAAATACTCCCATAGCATAAATAAAAATTAATTTTAAGCGTCGTAATACAATGAGTGTAATTTCCAAGATTGTTTCAAAGCTTTAAAGTCATTTACGAAGCGCAAATTGTCTTTTATCTTTTATTCTATAATATGCTAATGAAGTATTGCCTTAGAATAATTGAATATACAAGTATTTACTAAACAATGCAAAAAAAAAAAAACAATTTATAATATTAGATCTTTACATAATATATCTGTAAATAGTAGAATCTAAAATTTCTATCATTCATACCAAATATCTTATCAGAGCTTTTTTAGCGTACAAATTTGTGCAAAATAATTTAACACTCACAAAAATTTACCTTTTTCTCAATTCGATTTTATTAAAAACAATTTTAGAGCAAAAAATTTAAACTTTTTTCTATACAATACAAAATTTTTCGCAAAAAAAAGAAATCGAATAATTGATTATTTTATTTGAATTTGAAAAAAATTACTGAATTTTGACAAAAATTAAAGCATTTTTTCTATCTAATAAACACATAAACAGATAAAAATTTGAATACGCCTACAAAAAATAATCGTGAACGAAGTCCAATCTAACATGCATATATGCATAAACGCACACACGCACACACACACACACAAACACACAAACACACACACATACACACATATTTCATTCAATGAATGCATTAAAAAAAACCGGCTTTCTTACTTAAATATGCCTAAATTTTTCTTTTTTTTACTGTCTTTTTTAATCTATTATTTTTCTCTTTCAATGAAAAAGTAAAAAAATTGTAAAAGGCGTAGTTTTGCATCTAAAATATTCTCCGTGAAAATAATCATTAAAGTTGAACGTGAATTCGTGATTTGTTGTTACGCTAAATAAAAAAGCTAAATTTTTTACAAAGCATATCCTTTTTTTTCAGTTAATTTACCTGTCTAATCATATCTTCCACTCCAATAACAGCAATGATAAAAAACTAACAAATAAACAAAAAAAATAAAATTGTCTTATTGCTTTTTTATTTTACTTCTGGTGTAATAATGATAATTACACTGCATTCTTGCATTTCTTTATCTGCTAAAAATTTTCATTCATAATTTATCTGAATTAATTTAATCTACTATTTTAGCTGGTGAAGATGTTTTTTTGTTTTGAATGAAAAACTGAAAGAAAGAGATAAAAAAGTAACGAAAAAATTAAAAAGTATGCATAAATTTATTTCGCTCATTCACACTTTTGCTTTAATTTTTATTTGTGTTTTATTCGATGCGCAATGAATTTTATACAGTTAGTAAAATAAAAATCAAATTTGTTTACATAAAATATTCAAGAATTAACGGCTCGTAAAAACAAAAGGACTGTGAATGAAAAGAAAGTAAGTGTTATTTGTCTTAACATTTGTTCACTATTTAATATGCTTTTTTGACTGCCACATTACCATTGGGATAAAGTATAATTTTTATTATTCAATAAAATAAAATAAGCAATGCTAATTTGAGAAAGAAACTTATCACATAAATAATTAACAAATAAATTAAAATGTTCATTTGAAAACGCAAACTCTCATTATTATTGTTTATTTTATTTTTGCTTCCATAAAAGTATTTTAAAAAGTAGCATTCATATTGCGACAGTCACTAAACTATTTGCTGCAACACATGAGTTATAGGCAGATTTTTTTGCATAACAATTCGAAAATTACAATTTGTATTTCAAATTATAACAATAATTACTTAAACTACCAATTAATTATACTTTTTTGTGAGTAAATAGTGTCAATTCTGTATAACTATTTAAATTTACTTGCAAGTTTTTTTCTTTACAGTGTAAGTAAAGCCAAAAGGTTCGCTACTGAAATGCATTAACGCAAATGTTAAATGGCTAAATGAATAATTAAGCGAATGATTGAATCAGAATACGAATAATTATTTGCATTTAATACGTAAGATATTCTAGCAGT